AAAATCCTTCTCCATCAATATCAATCTTAACGCCTTTAGTAGGAATTCGGGGCGAAGGTCACACTTTACTGTAAAATTCGAAGGTATGAAAGGAGAGGCCAGTTTTAGTCCGTAATATGTTGTGTAGGATCAAATGGCATCATCAAAAATAGCAGCAGCAGCAGCAGCAGCACTAGAAGCGACCGTAGAGCGGTCTCTGTCAACATTGGCGCCTTCGACCCTCGCTTCGACAGAGAAAACCTCGTCATCTGGAAGTGTCTGGCTGAGGTGGAGCCTAGCGAATGTCCTCCTCAGTACATGGTAAAGTCTCCGGATGGTAACCCAGGGAAACGCATGCTTGTAAACATCGGGTTTTTCGAATTGGGTCACCACTTCTATGCTCTCCACTCCCAAGAGGATTTCCTCATAGCTACATCGGCTGGCCTAGTTTGCTCATTATATGCCGGTCTTTACCCTTCTTTGTTTATGTGAACTGAAAAAAATGAGATCATCTGCACACGACGTTAACAACATTTTGAGATGTGTAGCATCACGCATAAAGTTTGCGACCCATTGGCCGATGATTTCACACGCTGTCGATAGTATCCGTTTTCCTTCACTATGTGTCGTTTATGATATGCTAGTGTTATCCATTTTGACCTACCCATTTTTATATATGGTAAACGGAGGGCTTTTTGCTGAAAGTTTTGGAATTGTACCTTCAAAATAAAGCCTAAATCTCTCTCTTTAAGGTCTAAATAAGAAGAGACTATCCAGTGATTGTGGACGTCCTCCGCTTAACAGCTTTCCTCCGCATTTTTCCTGTTTGCAATTCGATATTCATTGTGTTTAATAGGTTACTGCCAATGAGTGGGCAACAGGCTCCTACGGCAGGGCTTTGGGTGAGTTTTTTGGAGATAGGGATAAGTTATGTAACCCCCTCCCCAGAATTTAAAATAGCCCGGCCTAGTTTGTTTTATTATTTAATAGCCCTGGGCAGTAACCGTCCGTGTGTTAACTTCTACTTCCTTATAACGACATGCATAAATAACTTATGTTGCGGTTATCGTAGTCAAAATCCCTTTTATTTTTTTGAGGGTTGTTTCTTATTTATTTTTTTAATTTCACTTTCAATCTCACCGCTATATATATAGGCCAAAAGAATATATTTGGGTGGATATTTACTTATTTTTATGTTTTTTACGCACCTTTCGCCGCTTGTCCGCGCTGAGACCCCACAATTAGAATCTCCATTATCAACATTCCCATTTTATACGATCCTGGGGGTTGGTGATGGCTAAGTGAGCTCAGATAACTTACCGTCACACATTGGTATTTGCACTCGGTTTCTCCAACATCCTCTACTTTTTTCCAGCCGTCATGCTAAGGCATCTTGCCAATGTCCCTCCCGACAGTACGTCCCGCAACGCTCAAACCGCCAAAACTCGCCGTAAATAGGGGGACAGAGGTCCTAGCAAACCGCTATTACCGATATCACCTCAGATGAGACGATAAGATATGCAAAAATAAGGCATACCATCTTAAAAATGTGTTTTGATAGAAAAGCAAAGAGGCATTTATTTTTAGGAGTCGATTTATCCCCCCTTCACCAATTCCCATGCAAATTCCCCTCATGCCGGAGCGACCAGTTTCCTCCATAATCTCCACTTCAATGTTCAGAAAAAGGACGAATTGGCACCAGCTCTTGGATCCCTGAGAGAGGTTTGGAGCTGGGGTTGCAGTGTATCCTTGCTAATCCCTTTTTATCCTACTTGGAGGGGACTTCTTTAAACTGAAACGTTGTTCTGAGAAAGTGTTCGCGCAGTGGCAGTTAGTTACTTTGCCGAGTTTGTGAGCGCTCCAATAAAACTGAATGAGCTTAAGTGATCCGGAAGATTTTCTATGCCAGGTAATTTCAGAAATGGAGTACCTACTATCTACTAGTTAATCTAAAGGACTTCACCTAAAGCAGCAGCGACCGAAATGCACGAAACTTCCAGCTTGCCAATTGCAGATGCTGGAACGCTGCCCTTAAGCAGCTGCCTTCTAGTGAAAACGAGCCGCCATTATCACGTACTTATTTTTGGGGACATCAAATAGATAAGCATCCTTAGGAAAGTTAAGTGCGAACAAGTTCCCAACAGCCGCCTGGATTATTTGATATAGATTTTCTCCTCTAGAGCCACAGAATGGCAATGGTAGGCGAACATATTATACGCAACTTATTTTCCCGGGCATATATTTAAAACAGGTGTAGGCAGCAGGATTTGTTGGTTCCAATACATTTCGTGACGACTGCAACCCGCTTTGTAACCCATCTTTGTATAATATAGGTAACGACTTAAAGCACACCGAAGCTTGCATTTACACAGAATGTCAATGCCAACAGAAAGGGTCATGGTTAACTGCAAACAATGATCAAATGGAAGGCGTTACCTTAAACCAGTATATATAAGAGAAAAAGGGGAGAGGAAATTAAGGCAAATCACTGTCGGGAGTAAGTCGAGCCACGAGGTCACCAGGGCAATTGGTGCTTGATCACATGATCCAGCTGCTGTGTAGGTTGGGTTTCTCTCTCTCAGTATATAGGCCGCCTCCATACAACGAGTTTTTCATGACCGAACAAGTACTCGGAAGCCTGCCTTGAGGTCCACAGAGTGACTGCTGTCTAGTAGCTGTTTCATAATTGAGGACCATAGTTTTCTATTTTCTTGTTTGAAAAGCCAGTTTGGCAAATGTTCAGCGGCCCTGGCTGCCAATTGCTCTTGCGTTCGCCCAATGTACTTGCATCCACAAGTGCACATAAATTCATACACACGATTTAGGGTGGCATGGAACGGCAAGGCTTCCTTTGCCCGGTTAATTGGAGTGCTTTTAGTAGGATTGCCGAAGATGGGTTCAGCTGCATTGCACGTCCTTTCTATGGTACAGCGTAACTGTCATTTGGCTGTGTTTGACATATTAACGCTCTTAAAGTGTAAGGATAAAATAGCGGACTTTTTCGCAACTGACTGTTTCGTCCATTCTAACTATAAAGAATAGCTGCACTTTTGAATGTAGCATACAGGATAGCCGCAGTTAAGCAGACCTGCGCTGATGCGGGCAATTTCCGTATCCAGGGTCTTACTAGAGCAAATATTCCTGGTTGTTTAAAAAGGCGTATTTAAGAGATTTAGTTTTCAGTGTATTGGCACAAAACGTGGAAAATGTAAATATTGTCATTTCCCAGTATTTTTGTGGAAAACTGACAAGTACTTAAGGTGGGTATACGAAAAATCCGTACATATGCGCACAGAATACAGTATATTCTACATTCCCCCAAACTCATTTGACTGCAGAAGTTGCTTGAGGGGCACCGCGACGCTCGGAGAATATAAACTACCGAATCAATGATTTTTGCAAACCTGTGAGGAAAATGTGGGTAGTGAGGGTAGGGGCAGACAACTGAATGCGGTGTTTAGGGAAGCTTTGTAAGTACTGAAAGAAGACCTCGGATTAAACTAACCAATTGCTATCTTTGGATCCTATCAGAATGCTTTTAATGTCTGCTATCCTTCAGTCAATGCCTACGAAACGACTGGTCGGCAAAACGTCAATCTAAAAAAATCAGCTGGACAGATTGGACGTAGCCAGCGGCTATATCCATCGTGCGCCCCAGAGCATGGCGGCCACAAAGCCGGTGACTTGCACACGAATTCCTTTGTTGTGATTGCAGACTTGTGCAGGATCTAGGGCACTCTATCCCACCCCTTGCTCAACGGAGTCCGGC